ACAACTCTGAATCATTAAATAAAGATACATCTTCAGGATAAATTATTGTTAAGGCTCCAAAATAGTTCTGCTGTGTTTGGAATTCTAATAATGGTAGGCAAGCTTGACTGGAACCTCTAATGATACAAAGATCTTGCAGTCTTGCTTATCTGTAGCTAAGTTAATGAGCCTGGGACCCAAACACAGCCATTATGAGGCCCTTCTGCTCAGAATGGTGTATCTTTACTTTTAAAGCAGATCATTAAAAGTAATATCTAATGAAAACTCCATCTGTTTTCCATTGAGCGTACACTTGGCTTTTTTCTTTTTTATTCTCTAAGGCTCCATGAAGCTTTGCAGCACACAGGGCTGACACTGTCACATGCTAACAGGACAAGCCAGCCCTTGATGCAATTCCTTTGTCCAGGGAAGTTAAATATTGGGTATATCTGGATCTGTTAACATAAAGGTAACCTTTTGGACCTTTAATTTCTTTTATATCCAGGAACTGGAGAGAGATGCACGGATATGAAGTAGTGTAATAAATTTTAAGTCACACAGACTTGCACAGAACCAAATCTACAGACCATAAATGTTATTTTGCATTAAAGCATTAGCAATAAAAGCTGAGACTTGCCACTCACTTCTCTCTCTTCTACCCATCTAAGTAGGAATTTCTGAGCCCTGCTAAGACATAGGGTGTAAGACACAAAGTTGTGCAGTTGTGATCTCTACAGACACTCTTACAGTTTTCTATCATGTGAATATACAGAAGCCAAACACATGCACATGCAGTTTCCATTACTAAATAATTCATTTGCCAGTCCCAGAAAAACCTGGTGGTATCAGATACACAAACACTTTATGCTAAGTGCTGTTAAAGCCTAGTTTCCAACAGACTTGAGTCTTAAGGATTTACCCAAGTGAAGATTTTCTGTCCTCTTCTAAGGGTTTTCCTCCCTTATTCCCCATACTGACATGGCTACCTGCAGTAATTAATTTTTTAGGAATTTCACAGAACAAGAGAAACATGCATAAACTGACCATGGAAATTAAAAGGGTTTTATCCCATCAAAAGAAGGAAATTCTGGAACAAACAACAAATAAAGTGGAAAAGTGGGAGAATAGAGAGACAACAAGGAGGAAAGAGCATATTTTTGAATGGCACCAAGCTGTTTATGAAAAAGATTGGAAACTTGGCTCACTACAGAGCAGAAGACTGGACTCAGCAATCCCAAAGATAATTTTAATTCTACATTTCCTTCACCAGAACTGGTGATAGAATAGATAATTTTTCCTTTAGAATTAGTTTTCTCTGCACTTGCCTGTGCAAACATGTAAGTTAAAATGCATGTCACCTCTTTCCCATGCTCCAGCAAGGACAATAAAAAGAGAATGTGACCTCTTGTGTGGCCTGTAACAAGCATAAATTAATGATGACTTAATATGCATTCAATGTGGATAGAAGTCCCATATTTCATACAGCTTTATAAATAAAGATATCTTCTATGGTTAATCACAAATAAACCAGAGGAGAATCAAGCAGGTAATGTGGAAATACAAAGTAATAAAGACTTATTCTTACTTTTTGCTTTTGTAAGAAAATGAGACTCATGTTTATGTTTGTTTGTATGAATTGTCCCCAAACAGTGTTGGAACTGGTTCATAATTCCCACACAGATTTTTAGAACTTGCAATATTTAATTCCTGCAAGTTCTGTGAAAATAGACAGCCAAGCTAACACAGATTATTCATTTCTCATTGAAGAAACAGGCTAAACTGAATTAAATCCCCATTAGACATCAGAGAATCCATGCCTAAACACAATCCAAGATATAAATCCATAGGAAAAAAATATTTCACTGTTTGCAGAACTACTTGTATTGAATGAGATCACAGAGATATAACATCACTATGACAGAATCTAATCACCACTCAACAAACATTTTGGAAGCAATTCAGCAACCACATCTGCTTCACCAGAACCACAGCCTCATGTGACAGGAAGCTTATTAGAGACCCTGTCTCTCATTATTTTGTTTTTGCTTATAACTTCTCAGCATGAATATTCAATATTGCAAAACCAAGCAGCTTCCTTTACAGACCATCCAGAAAGGAGGAAAAAAATTATGTCAAACATTCCAGATCCTGAAGAAATTGATGCCTGTGGAGCTATGGATTTCTACCAGCAAAACATCTGGCACAAAACAACATTAAACATGAATAACTTGCTTCTCTTTTGCCTTACCATTGGTGCGAGGCAATAGTAACTCCTCTGAAGTTTTCTTGATATATCAAGCCTGAAAGCAAAACAAAAGAGAAGAAATCCAGCCCTTTAAACATAGAAATGTAACTCAAAGTACCTTAATTTCTTAGTAGCAGAGAATGCTACATTGTGAGACATTTTTCTCGGTTACTATACATGAAACAGTTGCTTTACAATACTCTCAATTCTGCAATTTAGGAACTCCCATTTGGTGCTCTTTCATGGCTTTGGTCATAGATCCAGGAGTTCAGAGCCTCTGAGCAGGTAAATTCCGTAAAATTTACAGGGGAAAACACCACTCATAGGAAAATCTGTCCAGGAGTGAAGCCAAACGTCCAAAGTCTCAGCCAAGGTAACAGCAGCTCTGTGTACTCAGCCTTCCTTAGCTGAAACACTTCCTAAAGTGAAAGGATTCAACTGAAACACTTCCTAAACTGAAAGGATTCATCTCAAATACTTCCTAAACTGAAAGGATTTATCTCAAACACTTCTAAATTGGGTGGTTGTCGCTCTAGGACACAAAATAAAATGTCATGGACACTGGAATCTCCAAGGTAAAAAAGGGGCCTTTATTTTTCTGACTCCAATATTTATAAATTTCTGAAAGTGACAGGGGATTGGAGGGTGACAGTGCCACCTCTCCAATGTCACTGGACAAACCAACAGTCCATCAAATTTCTCCTCCTCCATAAAAGAATGCAAAACAATTAATTATTTACATAAAGTGTGTGAGAAATTTTGTTACAAGAATGTAATCATCAGAACGCTTAGAAAATCTTAAAAAAGCAGGGTGACAGGTGGTTCATGTGCACCAGCCCTTGACTCAGCTCTGCAGTCACAGCTGGTGATGTGAGAGCTGCCCCTCCTCACTGTGCCCAGCAGTGGGGTGGTTTTGGGAAGGCTGGGGCTGTGGAATGATGATTTTGGGAAGACTGGAACTGTGGAATGTTGTGTGACTGCACCATGGGCACCTCCATCTGTCGAGTGGCATCAGTCCTGTGACACACCACAGCTCCTGTTTGCACATTCCTCAGCTCTGCAGGAGTTTTCCCTGCACATAAGGCTGGGCTGGCAGTGGCATTTGGAAGTGCTGAGCTGTGGGGTAGCACTCACTTTCTCTGGCAGGCAGGTGTTGCATGGATATATCCCCACCAGGGCCCTGTGGTGGGCAGGCACGTTTTACACAGACCAGAGCTCTCAAACAGGATCCCACTCTGCAGACACATCAGACAATATCTTCCCAAAACCTCTGGATAACCTTTCTTTATTCTTTCTCCATCGCCTTGTGGACAGATAAAAAACCTTTCAGGGAGATCTTAAGTTGGTGTTGCCATTTCAGACCCACAGATGTCAAAGTGATTTTTACACTCTTTCTGCTCAGCTAATTGCCAAGCCCCAACAAAGGCACTTTAATGGGCAGCACCAGGCAATAAACCATCATCTATTGGCTCCAGCAACAAGGAAGGAAGAGAGGGAATGCAAAGCTGGAACAAAGCACAGACCCAGAGCAGGTCCAAATACTTGCAGAAACTGATTTATCCAAATATTTGATACCAGATGTTCTATTCAGACTATTTTAACAGAGCTCCACAGAACATTAAATGCTTCTTATGTTTTCAGTATCCAGCCCACTCCATCTGGGCACTTCTGCCACAGGGCACAAACAAAACCCTGCTTAATATTAATCAAAGAAGTGATTTTTGCTCTCTTTGCAAGTTCAATATAGAAAGAGTAAGAGCAAACATATGCTAAGCTGTTCCTGGGAACACTGAACACAACAGAGGAGCTGTCTTGGATTACAGCATTTCCAAATTATGCTCAAAGTCTTGTTTTGGGGAGGGCATATTACAACAAACATTGTGCTAAACTGGAGCACTCTTCATCTCTGATTAATACACATCTGGTTCATAATACACCAAATTAATATTTCCTTGTTTACCTAGAGTTTCCACAGATTACTGCATAGCTCCTAGTCCACAGAAAAGTTGCATCCTTTTTCTTAGACATTTGCTTGGGTATCACTTCTTTACAGATAACAATTATTTTTGTCTGTGCCCATTTTTAGCCCCATGGACTCCTTGTTCTCCTATTAGTTCCTTCTCTTTAGCCCATCAACAGCCTGTAGCCATATGTACTAAAAATTACCACTTAGTGCAAAACCTTTCTCCAAATTATTTTAATTCTTGAAATCCAGTACTACCTACATTTGTCAAACAGTACCAGCCTGTTGAGACTGTGCAGTGGCAGCTGAGGTCACTTCTCCTTTATTTTCTCAGCTGTCAGTGCACCCTTCTAGTCTCTTTCTGCTGATCCAACTCTGCAAAGGGAAAGGATAACAGGATAAGTATCTGGCCCAGTTTTCTCTCCTCTCCATCATGGATTTAATTCACCTACTTTTCTTAACTGGCCTCATCTATTGTCACTTCCATTTCCTCCTTCCTTGTATCTCAGTTAGTAACTCCAACTCAGAATACAGCTCTTCTTTAAAAGATGTGACCTTCTCAGTTGTCTCCTGCCTTCCTGAGAGGATGAAAGCCCTGCCAGCCTTCCCTTACAAGTTCCTTCTCTAACTGGCTGGAGTCTCTTTCCATGAACTCCTCGTGCATCCCAGCAGGTGCAGCTGGACCACGGGATGTGCAGAGCTGCCTCTGTCCCAGCGCCACCGAGTTCTTGTGTGTTTACTCACCTCAAGCACTGGATGGTGCTCGTGGCACTTCCATGCTGCAAAAGCGCTTTCCAAACCCTCCCACTTCTCCCGAGAGCTGTAAAAATCCCCCGGGGTCACATACAGTTGCAGGTCTGAGCCTCTAAATCCCAAGAAGAGCATGTTTTGACTACACAGACTGTGGCTGAGATTGCAGTGGAAGAGGCTCAGCTAGGTAAGGACAAATGCCAAATGAAATGTCACTGCCTATCGCACACAAATCCACCGAGTAGTGGCTTGCACATTCGGCCTCAAATATTTTATTTGCTAATTGGTTCCTTATCAGTGTTCCCCATAGCAACAAGGAGATGTAAGTGGCATCAAGTGGGCTGAGTGACATTATGTCTGCATGTAAATGTGACTGGGATTGTGCATGGAGGGGATGATCTGAGGGAGGTTAACAACATAATGTGAAAGCTCCTGTGGTCTCAGAGGAGAAAGGAGCTTCTTAATGCTGCCTGTGTGAGGTAGGGAAGCTTTCTCAGCAGCAAGCCTTTTTGAGAGAATCAGACAGATTCTACAGAAAATGAGTTTGTTTGATCTTTTTGCCTACTAAGAAGTATTGATTTTACACCAGATGTTTGGCTTCAGTTATTTTTTATAAGAAGGTCAGAAGATTTTTGGTATTCTTAAAGGTGTCATGAATAAGCAAAGGAAATAAAATTTATAGGAAAAAAAAAAAAAAGCTAAAGGGAGACAGGAGATAAATGTTCAAGTTTTTTTCCTTTCTTTTGCTGATTTTTGTGCATCCCCAGGCAAATCAGGCTGTCTCTTTGAAGTTGCTCAGCCTTGTATATTGGTGATAATTCCTTCTCTTCCAGCTCTTCTAAAAGGCTCTTTCTTCAATGGAAGGTGCCATAAAAGTACAAAATATTTTGTGTGTCTGCATCTAAGGAACATAGATCTACAAAAGGCACTTTAGCAAAATAAAGCAAATAGAGAGAATGCTGTAACATCTAGGAGAAGTCAAGGAAAAAGGGAATAAAAGGACTCATAAGGATGGGGTGGCATTGATAAGAAACATCTGGGCTAGCTGGATGTATCCACTGACCTAAGATGTGGGATTCAAACCTGTATTGATAAATATTTGGATTGGACCACCTCTGGCTATACAGACATCAGCACAGCCCAGAAAAGGCTCAGGAATCACTGAAGAATCCCACCTGGAGGAAGGCCTTGAATTACTTTCCAACAATCCTACCTGGATTAAGCATTTCAGAGAGGGGTTTGTTCATCTGAAGGACTTGCACAGATTCAATGATGCCCTGAAAGCCTGTGGCGATTCTTCAGCTGCCTAGTCCACTCTTCACACAAAATGCTCCATCTTCTTGGGTAATCTCCTTTTAAATATCTCCAAAGACAGTCCTGAAAGGGACACACTGAGGGTTAACAGCACTTGGATGAATAAAACACTCCAAACTGAGCACTGCTGTTGAAGCCTTAACATAGAAATCTTTTGGCTACACCATTTAATACGACACACACGGGACAATGAATTTTACAGTACTTGCAACACTCCCTCCTTCTCTTGGCAAGTGGGCATTGCAAACCATTAGAATTTATGGGATAACTGAGCTGCTTGTGCCTCAGAGGAAGAAAATGGGATAAATGGCCCAGTGCTGCAGATCTGCCACGACTCATCCCATCGAGTTAATGAACCGGCCACCTCAAGATTTGGAAATTGAGTGCAGGAGATGCTACTGTTCAGAGAACTGCTACTACAGGCAATACTTGAGTAAAATACTCAAGTATTTTACTTGAGTAAAATACTTGAGTAAAACAGCCTCAAGAACCAGGAAACCTGTTGTTATTTTAGCTGTTATTTTGTTGTTATTTTCCTTTTTTTTAAAGGAAAGTGTAGTCTCATGCACAGAGTGAAAAACAAGAGAGCTCTCTCTGGGATGCCACTGCCCTCACTGTCCCCAGGCGCAGGACCAGGTTGGGTGTGCTCATGAAGGTCTGAGAGATGTGTGGTGACTTCTTGGAACCCTGGCCACTGAGAATTTCAGACTTTCTGTGCTGACAGGCACTGACCCTCAAGAGAACACTGTGTTTGACCTGAGGCCATGGAGAAGGCATCCAAAATTGAATGATAAAACTGGGATTATAGGTGTGTAGTTCAAATAGAAGTGTGCAATATCACATGGTAGAAAACTTAAAGGTTTTAAAATATAGTAATATATATAAACAAGATAGACATTTTAAAACAGAAGCTAGCCCTTCTTCTTCACCTTCTTCTTCATAAGTTTAAATAGTATTATATCATTAGATTTTAAAATCCACATTAAAAACCACAAGTAATTAGCTATTAAGTTAAAAATAAAAATAATTTAAGTATAGTTTCTTAATTAAACTGTTTATCCTTAAAAAACATTGTAAAAAAAGAAATAAGACTCCATTTTTAGTTTATTAAAGTAAAATAGTATGCAACTCACAGTTTATAAAACTATAATATAAATAAAAACTAATAAACATCTAAAGCCAAACAAAAATACCATTTCACACATTCAATCCCAACTCTAACAAAATACAAATAAAACTCTCCTGTGACTGACATGGTCCTTGCTGGTGCCTTTATCCTCTCTTGTGGCATCCTACTGCAATAACAGAGCTGCCAGGAGGGAGCATTTGTCCAAGTGTGCCCACAGCAGAGATGCAAGCAGAGATGCTGGTGTTGCAGTGTGTGCAGGTAACTCTGTAATGCAGATTTGGTGAGTCTGAATGGGCTATGGCATATTTTTAGATCCTCCCAGGAAGGAGTGTGTAAGCACAAAGCAGAGCTGTACCAGTTCTGATGTACTGCTGAGCAAGGGTACCCAAAAGGCTGTGCTCATAATGTGCCCTTTGTTACTCACACAGACTGAATTTCTGATTTCTTGGTTGATTTGCAGTAAGAAAAATTGTTTAGTTTCATGGTATATCACAACATTCAATGAGCTTGTCCCTTGGGAACACCAAGAGCTTTCAGATCTTAATATAGACATCTTTCAAATGAGATCATTAACGAGTATATATCTGGATTGAGAGCCAATGCAAGCACTTCGATTTTTTGCCTGCCAAATTTTCATTTTTGGCTCCATTTTCTTCCCATATATTCAAAGAACTGCACCACATGGAATCCTTTAAACAATAGATGGGATAACATAATTTTTCAATTGCTCTTGCAAAGGTTTTTAACCACATAAACTATTCCTGGGTTCGCTAAGAAGTTACCATTGCAAATAATGTAATTGTTCCAGACTAAATTCCTTGCATTCCAGAAGAACTTTTGAAGCAAAGAGCATGACTGATTTGGGATTTTTAACCAGCCTCTTTATGGTAATACTTAGATGAATGTAAATTTTCTCCAAAAGCTTTGCTTTAAAAATAAAGGACCAAAGCCCAGAAACACTCCTAGCTGCAGATCCAATACTTAATGCTAATGACCCGTTGATCTCAATAGAGAGAAAATAAACATTTAAAAATTAGGAAACTGCACACTTTATTTTAAACAATAAAAGAAGGTGAGAAGAACAGTAGACAAAATCTGGTGAAACTAATGCAAGCTGTAAATTCTGGTTTTTCTCTCCTCTTTTGCAAGCAGGACAAGGCTGTTACTTGCCTTTGGAATGAAGTCAAGGCTCTCTGTCCTGCTCCACCAAAGTTCTCCTTAAAGATGTGACTTCTGCTTCCTGGGCTTCACCTGGAATTTAAAACACACTTTTTTTTTCTGGTAACATGTTTACTCTTATCACTTGAAACATTCTTGTTGCATTCCTCCAAAGGTGATGTCATTGCTTGGTTTGGCCAGTGGAGAGTGTTACCCAACTCTCCTCCAGGTAGAGTGGGTGGGGGAGATGAAATCTCCTTCTTGCTGAGGCAGAGGGCCCCAGTTCTGCAATTCTCATCCCCTGTGGGTGCACTGGAGTTCAGCCTTAACAGCACACAAAGCCCCTTCCCAAATCCACCTCGTTACTGAGCTTTCTTGGATTAATTGAATCAAGCAGTGATTTAGGGTGGTTTAGGAGGTGAACTGCTCTGGGAGCAGGGCCTGTGATTCACTGCAGACCCCCACCACACAGGGCACTATGGAATCCAACTTCTCTGTGGCCAGTAAAGCAGCAGACATGGGGAGCAGCACTTCAGAGGGTCTTTTGGATCTCCATTCTGATTCTGTGCTACAGGCCAGCTTCCCACACACCAGCCTGTTTCCACTGGATTCACACCAGATGCAGACTTGGCCTTGCAACTCCAGAAATTCAGTTATCTTTTTAAAGACTCTGGGCTTTGTAGAATTGGCTTAGCTGTTGTATGAAACAATAGTATCTTGTATCAGTCAAAACAAAATGAATTAGCCCTGTATTTATTAGCCAAACTTCCTGTGAATACAAAGCTTCTGGGATCATGCTCTTCCCCAGTGTGATCCCAGCCCTGCCCCTTTACCCATCCCCAAGGAGGGGCTGGCTGGAGCTGCAGGGACTCCCCCAGAGCTGTGCCCTGTGTACAAGTACAATGTATGTAACTGGGTCTTGTCCTGACATGGAGCACAGCTAGGGTAACTCAACCAGCCTCAGGAGCTGGGACTAGTGTCACAGATAAGGACAGTGATAATTACCTTCTCCAAAGCCTCATGAAAATAGATGCCTCAGTTGAGGTTAAAGTGCCCCAAGTAAAGGAAAAAAAATAAAGGCAAAGACACAGAAAGAGAAAAATCTTTCCACATGATCAAAAAATAAGCAGGGAAAGTTTCATTTGGAACTTGAGTACCCATAAGCACAGAAGTCAATCAACCATAAGATCTACTAGAAAAACAGATGTAATCACATTTAATAAGATTCAATCTTTATCCACTTATTTGTTTTATTTTCCTCAAGGAAAATGAAGACACTTCTTGTCTCCTGGATATGTTATGTGAATTACTTCACTGTTCTCTTTGCAACCAAACAACCCCAGCCCCCCTCAGCTTCCTCCTGCTCTCCAGCAACCACTGAGTGTTCACACTCATTGCTTACCCCTGGATGTTACTGTTCAAACAAAACCTGCAAACTTCTTTTTTTTTCAGTGAGCCTGCAGGATTACATTTCAGGCAGAGTGCAAAGTGACAGCTGCTCCTCCACCTGTACTGACACAGCACACACTCTCCAGGAAGATGCATCTTCCATTCGTATGTGTCTGCTGCATGTGGTGCTGATGCTCAAAATGCCCATGTTAGGCTTTTAGGCCAAATAAATTTGATAAAAAATCATGGGATTTTAGGAGCATTATTTCTGGAGAAGCTAATTCCAGAAACAGTCTCTGCTCACCTGTGTCACTGATGCCTTAGCACTGCACTTATCTAACATTCACACCACCAGGACTGGAATTCAGGACTTCTGGTCTCTGCTGGTTCTCTGCTGCAAGACCTTTTCCTCTGACTGAAAACTGCTGCTAAACCTCCTTTAGTTCTTTTAAGATTTAGCTGAGTCATGCTGGGAAATCCTTTGAGATCAAGGCTATAAGAACTACAAGTGAGTAGAATTAAATGGGACATTTTGGGAGGCACAGAGGAAGTTACTCAATTGTTTCAGGTTAGAATACATTCTATTAGATACTACATAAACCTTCACCTCTGTCAAGCCCAATTACTATCCAGAAAAGAAAGATTAAGTAAGAACCACACCTATAAAGCTAGTACAGCTCTAAATTGAAGAACAAGAAAGGAAAATAAAAGTACAAACCCCTTGAGAGTTCTTATATATTTCAAACTACATATAAAACCCATTCAGAATGTAAGCTCAGGAGATCAGACAGAGACTTGGAAATGTTGCAATTCCAATAGTCAATATCCTGTCATCCAGTCTATGGAAGTGATGAAAGTGAAGTTATACTAATCCCTTAATAAACACTTGTAGGTACAGCAGATATCAAGCTTGTTATTATCTTACTTGCTTTTTGCAGCAGGAGTGGTGCTGCACTGAGTTTGATCCCTGAATGACCAGAATGTGTCAGAGTTTTGCCTCAACATGAACAAGATGAAATTATTTGCTAATGTGGGTGCTCTGAGGTGCCCATATGAACACACACCAGGCTGGTTTCAAGAGCTCAGTTCCTACACTCAAGACTAGATTTTCAGGGAGGTTCATGCACTGAATGCTTGTTACATCCAGCTACTTATAAAAAAGCCTAAGAAAGAGCTAAGAAATTTGTAAATGTACCTCAAGTGATAGAAACTTCATCCTTTGATCACTTGCCACTAAGTCAGCAGTTCTGTGAGCAGCTGACATTTCTGGGTTCTCCACATTTCCATGAAGAAAGCCCTAGATGTCTCAATCTGGGAACAATGAAAAGTTAAGTCTTTAGTTTAAGCCTGCTTTATACAATAGCAAAGACTGAGAAAATTTACCTCAACTGATCAAAAAGGGCAAAATGGAATAATTTTCAAAGACTGCCTATCTCAGGTTTGCATTTTGTTTAAATGAGCAAAAATTTAAAGGGAAATGCAGAATCTTCTGCCTTGCCATACCATGTATTATGGCAGCAAGGCTTGAAAGACAGTGGCAACAAGTGAGATTCAGCTTAAAAGTGACTTATTTTAGGGTATGCAAGCCATAAGAAAAGTGAGTTATAACAGATCCTGCCCTTGAAAGGAACTGTTGGTGTAATTTCTATTCCAACTCTGCATTCTACATGTGATTTTACATGTGCTCAAATGATGTACATCTACAATTTTATTGCTGCAACCTGGAGTTTGGACATGTTCTCCTAGTTAGATAGAAGGACTAAAACCCACCAAAGGACTAAACCTCCATCAACAAAGCCCAACCATGGGTGCTGAGAAAGGGACCCCTTGGCAGGACAGGTTCCTTCCACTGCCCAGCCAGGTCACAGCTGCATTACTGGTGTGACAACAAATGTGACAACTAAAAATAGGCCAGGGACTAATACACTGATTTCCATGCCAAGTGTGTAATTTACTAATAAAACTTCCTGATTGTTTGCAGACAAATCATGACATTTGAGGTTCATTTGTCCATGAGGATTTATGAATCTTGGGTGCTTCCATCCCCTTCAGGGTGAGTCATCACCTCAGAGATGTGGCACTCAGTGCCAGGCTGGGGTGACAGGCTGGGGATCAGTCTCAGGTTGGACTCGATGACCTCAAAGGTCTTTTTCCAACCTCAGTGATTCTGTGATTAAAGGGCAGGATTTGTTGGTGTTGTTTCCTCAATAATAAACATTAGTTATGCTTCCGGGCTGTAGGCCCGGCGATTTCTCCCTTGCCCGGGGCTGAGGGGCCAGGCCGGGCAGGGACCCGGGAGAAGCCACTGCCACCCTCACCCTGACCCCAGTCCCTGCTCCAAGTTCTTTTCCCCGGTCCCCATTATCTGTCTCTGTCCCTTTACTCCATTCCTGGTCCCTGGTCCTGGTATTTGGCCTCTGTTCCCCATTCCGGTGCCTGCTCCTTGTCCCTGTGTCCCGTCTCTGGTTCCCGGTCTTCGTCTCAGTCCCTGTCCCTGGTTCGGGTTCCTTCTCCCTATCTCTACTCCCAGTCCCTGTCTCCGTTCCCAGTACTGGTCTCCATTTTCAGTCCCATTCCCAGT